CCCCCCGGCGCCCCGCTCCGTGCTGTCCTCCCGAGCCTGGGCCCGGGCCCAGCCCCAGCTCCCCTCCGCATCCCCGCGCCCCCGCCCCCAGGCATCCTCGCTGACCAGCAGCAGCCGGACGTGGCCGGCGTCCACGAGGGTCGAGGGGCGCGGCGGAGGAGTGGGGGGCGGCTTTCCGGAGACTGTCCAGGGGTTCGAGGGGGTGCCATTCCCCGGAGTGCCGCGCTTCCGGTGTCACCTGTACTGTCCTAACCTCCCCTCCCCCGCCCCGGTCTCCGGTTGCGCGGAGAGTGGTGGTCGCTGCCCCTTGTCACCCGGCTCCGGCCCGCAGGGCGGGGCCTGCGTCCCTCCCCGGCGCGAGCTGGGAGAAAGCACGGCCTGTGGCGACCTCCGCCGCCGGCGCGGCGGTGCCCCTGGCCGCGCGTGCTGTCGGGCTGGTGACCCCCTGTAACTTGTTGAGGTTTCCGTACTCGTCCTGTTGCAGGGGACGAGAAGGGCAGTCGAGCGGCGGTGCGCTTTGGACTCCCAGCCCCGGGCTCTGCTGAGGGCAGTTCAGAGGCACAGCGAGCTTGCTGCGAGCTTCGTCTCTTGGATGGAGTTTGAGCTGCCGCCTTGTTGCGTGCCTTCCGGAGCTTGGTGCCGGGCAGTTGAAAACGTATGTGCTCTTTTCGGTCTAGTGTATGGCACGAGTCAGTTCTCACAGGCACGGCTTCTTGGGAAGAGGATAGATGTATTGGCTAAGTTTCCTATTGTGGGAACGGGTGGCCCTACTCCGATCTTGGCAAGTGGATTAGCTTTGCAGCCTCCTGCCATACAGGCCTGTGTGTGCGGGCTCCCAGCACCCTGAGTGCCCCTCCTGTCCTCTCTCTCTCAATCCATTCTCCATTTATAGCCGGAATGAGAGGTGGGGAGAACAGCTCCGTCGCCAACGTGCGGGGGTGGGAGTGACGGCCTATCCGAGACCAGGGCTCTGCGTGCACAGTGCGCCGTTCTTGTTAAGTGGGAAATTCAGAAGCAAACCAAGATCCCTCACATCCTGGGTGTTTGTTTGTTTGTTTGTTTGTTTTGGGTGGGGGTTGATGTTTCAATCTAATCCTTAGGAGAAATCAGTGAGAGCTAGCTTTTCCTAAGAGGAAAACAGCACCAGTATGAATTCACACCTGTGGGCTGTTAACTGTCTGGGACACTCCCCCACTTCTGCTCAGCAGGGTTGGTGTGAGGCCATAATAAGCACAGGTTTGGGGATGCACGTTCTTTGCTGCTGCTTGTCCTCAGCACTTCATGCATTGGCTTGTGGCGTACACTCAACCTTTAGAGCCAGACAGACTCAGGTTCCAATCGCAGTTCTATAACTTTTTGAAGCCTCATTTTATGTCATCTCTAAAATATGTGTAAAAAAACCTAATTCATCCACCATTGTGAAGATTGAGATGTCATATGTCAGATTACAAGCAGAATGATAGTCAAACTGTGTGGCAACAGTCGCATCATCTGCCTCTGAAAGACTTACAGTCACTGTAACCTTCACAACCACTTTGCAAAGTAGGTTTTATGATCTCAATTTACAGATGAGGAAACTGAGGCTCAAGGAGTGTTGGTGCCCAGTAAATGTTGCATACCTTTCTTTCTGGTACCTGGTTGAAAATAGTAGTACTTTATTAATGGCATCGTTAGCAGCAGTGCTGTGGTCGTCATCATCCTTATGGCCACTGTTCCGTGCTTCGTTTCTGATTCCCAGAAGTGAGGCTTTTTTTGAGTGCTTACGTGGGAGGTGTGCCACCGGACTGTTGAACATCTTCTGGGAGCTGTCTGTCCTGCGGGTGTGCAGGTCATCGTCCTGACAGCGGCTTGGTGGCGTATTGCTTTTTATGCCTCCATTTCTTCTCTGGTAAACCAGTAGCATGGGCTCCCAGTTAACCCTGCAGAATGTGGTTATGGATACTGGAATATTTTAAGGGCTCTGAGAGAGTGCTAGCAGTGTGGGGCTTCCTCTGGGCAGCTGGCAGAGCTGAAGTTGTATGGAAGGGCTTGCTGTGACCCCTCCCTTGTCTTCCTCCAGAAGGGACGTGGCCATGGAAGACCTGGGGGAAAACACCACTGTCCTGTCCTCCCTGAGATCTTTGAACAACTTCATTTCTCAGCGAGTGGAGGGAGGAATTGGACTGGATGTTTCTACCTCTGCCCAGGGTTCTCTGCAGATGCAGTACCAGCAGAGCATGCAGGTGAGTGCCATGTGTTGGGATAGGGGTCTCTGAGTGAAGACACCTGTCCTTAGGTGGGGCCTCTTCAAGTTCCATGTAGTTCAGATGTGTGACATGTGTTGGGGCCTCTTGAGTAAAGACTCCTGCCCTTAGATAGGTCGTTCAAATTCCATATACAGCAGGTCCTCGAAAAACATCGTTTCATTTCTTAGGTTGGTAAGATGCTGTAGGAACTCAACTCTTGTGTGTATCAGTTTACGGTAAAATTGGGTTTATTACCCGTCTTTTCACTCAAAGTCACAGAATGTATGAATGACATTAAGTGAGGACTTACTGTAGTTGAGGGCAGGAGGCCAGGAGGCCAGCTGGCTATCTCCCAGATGTCTAACACGGGTGTTTATAGTTTTGGAAAGCCATAGAAGCCATGGTCTGGCCCTGAACTGTGCTGGCGTAAAAGCCTGGTTTACCAGCACTCAGAGCGGGTCTGCTGCTGAGCGCTGCACTCACCGTGCGGAGCTCACAGGCAATGGTGATGGGGACGGAAAGCTGGACTGCCTGGGAGCATGGCCACCAATTGCCCAACCAGCTGCTGGCTCCCTTAAAGGCTGTGTTAGGTTCTTGGTCAGCCTGGAGGGAAAGCCAGGGTAGTGAGCAAAGGATTGGGAGAGCAGAGATCTTAGTCCTTGGGGGAACCATTTCCAGATCTTGGTTTCAGTCTGCCATCAGTGATTTTTAGAGTTTTTTTTCTGATTGTAGTGTTATTTCACTATGTTTTAAGTTCTTGGCAGTGCTAATGGTAGATGCAGTTTAAAGGGGTCAGGTCTCCTGAAGGATTTCCAGCTCTAAAGTGTTGTGGGTTCAGTCCTGGTTGAGGCAGAGATCACGGGGCCCACCCTGGGAAGGGGCGTGGTCTGCAGCCTCGCCCAGGACCACTGCCTCAGGCGTTCCCTGACTTCCCTGCTTGTGTTCCTCCTTCCCTGTCCACTGGCGTGTGCTGCTGGAGCCATCCTGCGATAGTGTCCTGTGCCAGACGTGGTTTCCTGTTGCTCTGGGTGCCCCGGTGAGACCCAGGCAGCTTGCGCTTGGCGGAACAGAGGCCGATGTCTTTGCATGTATTGGTTTGCTGAACAATTGAATCACCTTCTCTTTGTTAGTGGACTAAGTTGCTCAGTGCCCTTTTTTGGCAAAGACTGTTTTTTTATTCTAAAATTAAGTCTTTTATTTTCGTTTTAGGTGTTAAAACACTCATGAAATGATGCTGGTAATACACTTTTTAATAAAACGATGCTGATAACAGGTTATAGTTTTTTTTATTTGATCCTTGCTCGCAGGTCTACAAATGTTATTTTATTGATGCAAATGCCTGGAAACTTTTGGCCTGTCAGGACTATGGAATCTAGAATTTTGGAGGTCCCCTGTTCTTACTCAGCTAGTGCTATGAGGGCGTCCGCAGGAGAGGGGTCAATAAATGAGTGGCAAAGCCAGAGTGAGCTGGTTATAGTCATGCTACCCAAGTACCTGTCTCAGGGCCCTGACCTGTCTTAGGACTTCAGTCAGTGGTTCTTTCCTATTGTACACCCCCACCCAAACTGGCAGGTGAGGAAACTGGGAACACTGCAGGTCTGGGGAGCCTGGAGAGCAGAGATCAGTATTTCTTGCCCACCATCCCCTACCCTCTTCCTTTTTTTTAAGGTTGCTGTTTCTGTTTGAGGGTGTTATAAATTCTGCTACACGTCAGTGTTTGTGTAAACATAAAAATGTTTCAGTTTCTTTCAAATACAGTTGATGTTTGAGGAAGATATGGTCCAGGGATACTGTGTCTCTGGGACCTCTGGTCCCTCTGCGGTGGTGTATCCTGGAGCTGGGCCCTAGCTGTAGATAATCGAGTGAGATTAGGAAGGGCAGCGAGTTTGATGGGCAGTAGGGTTAGGAATTTCCAAATGTTAACAGGTGGGAATTGAAATGAGAGAAAATGTCGGAGGGGTCAAGGGTGTGTGTGCTTAGGCTCCCAAGGAGCATGAGGGGAGGGGCGGAGAAAGTGCCTTTTCTCTGGCTGGGATTTCTCACTCTTGGCACTGTTGGCATTTTGGGCTAGATAATTCTTTGTTCTGCAGGACTTTCCTGTGCATCGAAGGGTGTTTAGCAGCATCCCTGACCTCTACCCACTGGATGCCAGTAGCACACACATACTACCATCCTCTCGTGACATTCAGCAGCGTTCGTGGCCATTGCCAAGTGTCCCTGATTGAATTGAGAACCACTTGCTCTAGTCCAGTGCTTCTCAAGCTTTATTGTACATGTGAATCCACAAAAAATATGTTTAAAAGGAAGATTCTGATTTGGTGTTTCTGGGGTGTGGCCTGAGTCTCTGCATGTTTGTTAAGTGCCCTGTAGGTGTGTGTTCTGGACTGAAGACCATTCTTGGAGTGGTCAGGCACTAGCCTACCTGAGGAAGAGGCCCTTATAGTCAGTGAGCCTGTGAAACTGTTTGGTGTGTCTTGTGAGGCCCTTCAAGGCTTGAACTTGCCTTTATTTACCTGGCGTCTGTGGGAAACGGACTTCTAAGATGGCCCTCGGTGGGCCACACGCTCTCCCATGTAATCAAATTGTAGTAACTAGGTGTTATGGCAATGAGATTTTGCAAATTTAACTAAGATCTCAAATCAGTTAATTGTAAGAGAAGGGATTTTACAGATAAAATTAAAGCCCCAAGTCAGCTGACCTTAAAATGCAGGAAAGACCTGGGTGGGCCTGACCTAATCAGGTGAGCCTTTAAATTCTAGATTGAGAGATCAGACTGAGAGGTCGGAGATGCAGAGCAGGAGAGGGGTCCACATGTGGGTGCTTCTTCCTGCTTGGCTTTGGAGCTGGCAGGGAATGTGGGTAGCCTCTAGGATCTACAGCAGCTGATGGCCGACAGCCAACAAGGAAGTGGACCTCAGTCGTAAAGCCCTGTGAGTGTGGAAGAGGATCCTGGGCTCAGATGAGGACACAGCCCAGCCGACTGTTGAGTTTGGCCTGTGAGACTCTGCTCAGAGAACCTGGCCACGTGTGCCTGGCCTTCTAACCAGCAGGATTGACAGCTCACATTACGAGTGTTGCACGCTGCTAGGTTTGGTAATCTGTTACACAGTGGGAAACTGATAGGCCCTCTTTTTTAAAATGAGCCTGCACCAGTGACTGTCATCTTAAAACATACCCTTCTCTTCTCCTTTGTCATCTTCTCTGTGCTTGCTGCCTCACTGGGGCCATCGCCCATCTAGAGACCCAACTTCTTCCTTTTTCCCCAGGGCTGAGCACGGGCCTTCTTGGGGGCAGGTGCCCAGTGAGTGAATGTTGAATGAGCTACTCGCCTGTTTGACGCAGCTATTGAGGATTCTGTCTTTCCTTTGGGCATGACCTGGTCAGTTGGAAGAACGAGCAGAGCAGATCCGTTCGAAGTCTCACGTCATCCAGGTGGAGCGAGAGAAAATGCAGATGGAGCTGAGTCACAAGAGGGCTCGAGTGGAGCTGGAGCGAGCAGCCAGCACCAGTGCCAGGAGCTATGAGGTAGGTTCGGGCTGGCCAGGCCCGCACCCGCCAGCCGTGAGAAATGAGCCGCGCCGGCCGGGGGCCTGCCTTCTTAGGCCGCAGATGACCCCTGTGCCTGACTCCTCCAGGAAGGCAGCACGAGTGCTGGCGGGCGTTCCTCTCTGCTGGGCCTCCTGGTTTCTCCCTCCCTCTGAGAGAATTGGAATGCAGACCTGGCAGAAATACCAGGTTGCACGGGGGTGACAGGCTTAGAAAGTCACCAGGTTTTATAGGGGTCTTGGATCTAGGTTGGGTGTTGCTCAAATGGTTATAGAGCCTCAGAGCAAAGAGCCCCAGTCTTGGGGGCTGCTTCATCCTGCCCCTGGCTCACCCACAGTAGGCTGGGAAGGTGCAACCCCCATTACCCAGAGGGTTAGGTTTTCACTTTGCATGTAAATCCCTTGCTTCCTTGGCTTTGATTAACAGCACTTTGCAGGGTTTTCAGGAAATGCTGATGAGTGTGGAAATGCTGCCAAGATTCGTGCAGAGCGTCAGACCACAGAGCCTCTGGCCTCTGCTTTCCCTGTAGGTGGATGTCTGGCTCCATTCTTGCCTTCTGTGGCACATGTGCATGCTTTACTGGTCTCTGTAAAAGTAGCTAGGGTCTTCAAAAATAGCTAGGGTCTGCTAATTGGATGCGTTTGAACCTGGCGTGCAGACTCCTGGCTGTGGTGCATTGCGAGGGCTCAGTAGCCCAGAGATGTGGCTTGTGTTGGCCCTGGAACTGCCCAAGTAGTGTTTCTCTGAGGCGGGGCTCTCGCTGATGTTCTAGGTTGTCCTCGGAGGGGCAGTCCTGGGGGAACCAGTGGGAAGCAGGAGGGAGAGGCCTTGGGAATCTTGCAGGTATCAGAGTGCCCTTATTAGGGACAGGGAGGTAGGCACAGGGGTCACTGGACTGTGGGGACCGTGGCGACCATGGAGTTGGTGGCACAGCCCTGGCTCTCAGGTAGAAGGCATGGGATGTGAAGCTGTTGGAGTTTCTCTTGGCCATGAGTCCCTTGAGGACAGGGCCTGTTCTGACTGCCCTGGATCTCCAGTGTCCAGCACAGGCTGTGGCACCTTAAAGGTGCTCAGAAAACATTTGAACAAGAGGGAGATGGCCGCAGGGTCGCTGCATGTCTTTCACGGGAAAATCCAAGTGTGCAGAGCTGACTGAGCTTAATCCTGGGCCTCCCCCTGACAGGCCTATCCTTCCCTGCTGTAGACACTGCTGCAGGGAGCCCTGAGCCCATCTGAGCCCGTGGTTTTCAAATTGTTCCTTTGAGTCTTGGGCATCTCTAGTGGTTTTTCAGGGACCAACAGTTTGGCAGTGAGTGGGGAGGACAGGTGGCTGGGAATCTCAGCCCTCCCATGTGGAAATACCTGTTAGATGCTGAGATATTGGTGTCGGGGGACTTGCCTGGGCTGCCCCACGTGTGTTCAGGACTGGCAGCCCGAGTGCACATGCCACATCTCTCCCTGTGAAGTGTGGACTGGGGCCCGGTGCAGCCTGAGGGCCTCACTCCTGCATTGTGGAAGGTGCCTTTGCTGCAGGGCCTATGTGGTGCTGGGCTGGATGGCCTGGTCTAAGTGCTCGCTCTGAGTAAGGCCGGCCCTGGGAGTACCAGATGGTCCTTAGAGGAAGCTTCTGTGTCTCAGTTTCCTGATGAGAGAGGTCAGAGGTCAGCAGTGTTTGGTTCCATATAACAGATTCACGGCCTTTGCCTCCAGGACTCTGGCTCCCACTTTGTGGTCCCTTTGCTCCTTGTGCTGAGAGTAATGATCTCAGTGGCCGAGTCGGCCTTTACGACCCCCAGGGATCGTCAGAGGGAGGAATCTTAGTTCTGTGTCCTCCTTACCAGCCCAAGCCATGCTGCCCCTGAGGAGACGAGTATAGGGTGGATCTGAAGGTTTCCGGGCCATAACGCGCCTTCACGGCAGAGGGGGGCCCTGGGTCAGCTGTTGCTGTCTGCAGGCCGGCTGTCCCTGCCTGGTTGGGGGCATGCTGTGGCATTGTGTTGGTGGTCGGTGTGTGGGCAGACGGGAGCTGCTGGTACTCCAGAGCGTGGAGGCTCCTTTCCAAGGCTGAGTCTGTGTTTGGGATTTTCACTGTCCGTCTCCTCCCTGCAGATGGTCAAGTTGGCAAATGCCACTGCGGAGTAATGATTCTAAGTGTCCTCCTGCAGGTCCCGGGGTGAGAACTGTGTGCTGTTGACCTCACTCCTGGCTCCTGGGTGGGTCTTGTCTGGGCCTCGGTCCTGGCCTGTGGGAGGATGGCTGGGGTTTCCGTGCTCCACCTCGCTCTCACCAGCTCCTCCTCTCTCGGCAGCGCGAGGTGGACCGCAACCAGGAGCTTCTGGCACGCATTCGGCAGCTTCAAGAGCGGGAGGCGGAGGCAGAGGAGAAGATGAAGGAGCAGCTGGAGCACAGCAGGCTGTGTAAGCAGAGCCTGGACGTGGCCAGCAGGAAGCTGCGAGAGAAGGAGGACGGCCTGGCCGAGGCGGGCGAGGTGAGGGGCGCCAGCCCGAGCTCCCAGGCCTCCGCCACCAGAGCACTGCCGTGTCCCGTGTCTGGTGCCCCTCGTGCGCGCCTGTGGTTTGCATGGTTGTGATCTCAGTGAAGAGGTGAACTTTCCAGTCTGTGGCTTTGAGTTGATGACTTGAACACTTTTTTTGGTCTTTGTAATCATGATTTCTAATGGTTGATGAATCTATTTTTTGTCATTTCCGAGTGCTTTGGTTTCTTATGCGTGCACAAGCATATATGCAGCAGATAGCTTCATGAATGCAGCTTTTTTATTTGAACTAATCCCTAGGAGTGAGATTAAAAGGGCACCAGCTCCAGCTGTCTCTGTCGCTTTGTCTTCCAGTTGCCGTGTTGTACTAAACAGCCATTGTTGACTATTCTCCTTCCATTGTAGCCTTACCTGTTATGGACGGTGGTATTTTCTGGAAATACTCCCGCGGTGGGTGTTTTTTCCCCCCCGAAGATATAAGTAGGTTCCTCTGGATTTGCATTCCTTTGATTACTAGCAAAGTCTCTTAGCATCTGAGAGTATCTTTGAAACCAGAGCGTCGATGAACTGTAGCGTCCTTGCTGTCTCTATCAATTGAAGGTTGTATAAATTTCAGAAACAGCCCAGACGTTGATGCTGGTGGAAAGTGCCCTCTTCTGACCTTTTCTGGTGCCTTCGCTGTGCTGCTCAAGATCACAGATGCTTCGAGGAGAAAGACGAAATGCTGCTGAAGGGCGGGGGTTGGCGCGGGTCATTAGTATTCCATCTCTGCGAGGCATTCTCGAGGTGGCAGCTTTGGAAGCAGGCCCCAGGTTATTTTTGCCTTGGCGACACTGGAGAGAATGTTAAGGTTGTTCCGACATCTGTCTTCTGACGTGGGTGTTGGCAGGAGAGGAGCTAGGATCGGCCTCAAGACAAGTCCCCCGCCCGCCCTCTGCGAGCTGCCTGTGCTCCATCCGGGAGGCCCTCAGGGGAGACAAGTCCTGCATGCTGATCAGTGAAGGGCCAGAGGGGGACATCCTCACCACAGAAGTTGCAGAGACGGTGCCCAGTGGGGCCCAGTGTGGGAAGGTTTTGGCCAGTTGGGACACAGGACCATGTGTCTTACTTTTCATCTCCTCAGAGAAGCTGTCCTTGGTCACCCGGTCTAAAGTCAAAAGCCTGCACTCAGCCCCCAAGTGTGTTCTCTGATCACGGTGCCCTGGTTCCTGTGCCCGCTGCTGTCCCAGGTCATCTTGTTGACGGCCTGGCATCCCCGAGCACTTGTTCTCCCTTGGGGCTGGCCTCTGATCTTGGTGTCCCATCCTGCATAGCGCCTGGTGCTGTGTGTGTGTGTTGAGTTCAGGAAGACTTCTGAGTTCATTGTTAAACGTGTTTTTAGTACCTTTCTTGTTTTTGGCTCCCCGATTGGTAGTCACTGTTGTAATAAAGGAAATTATACAGATTGTTGCCGTGGAGGATGCCTACGCCGTCAGCTCTCCTGGGAAGACGTGGGGTGGACGGCGCCGGTTGGACAGGTGAATGAGTGCAGCGGCCTCCTTGTCTTATGAGGGTGCCCCTAGTCCGTTTTCTCGCCCTCGCTTGTAGGATCCCTTGAGTTGATGTCTGGCTCCCAGAGGCTGATGTGGCAACACTTCCACGTGTTAATGTACGTGATGCTTTTGAGTAGGTTGGCCTTCCCTGCTCGTTGGCCAGTGTGCTCTCTTCCCCTAGGAAAGTCTCAAGGGCAGTGCTAGCCCCAGAAGGCTGCCTTGAGCTCAGGGCGGTGGTTCTGCCTGCGCGTGTCCAGTGGGCTCGCTGTCCTGGAGGCGGTGCTTTGGGATGGCCTTCCCGGGCCTCGGCTTTCCTTTCCGACCACTTCCAGCCTGGGAGTGCTTCAGTCCCCATGGCATTCTGGCAGCTCCTCTCCATGCTGTGTGGCTTTCGTGGCAGCATTCTGAGGACAGCCTCAGTCTCCCATGTTTGGCTTCTAGGGGACACTTGGCTCTAGCTTACAGGTGACATCTTTAGCACGGAGCTGGAGTGGTGGCATGGCATGGGGGGTTAGGAAAGGGATTCCAGGCCGAGCGATGAGGGCAGGGTCTGCAGGAAGAGCTGCGCAGAGCGTGCCGGCGACCAGTGCAGGTCGAAGGTGATGGGACGGGTGTGCTGCTGCTTCGGGGGAGGGGATGTCCGGGGGGCATGCGGCCTGGGCCTGTTTGGTTGGCAGCAGTTCTTGCTCCTGAGGCCACTGTCACCATGACCTAGTCTCTCCTGTTAGCTCCTGGGAGATGGGAAGTGGCATGGGCTGGTGCTCTTGGGTGGTTTGGGGGTGGTGTCTGGTCATGTTCTCTGAAGGAGCAGATAGCTGAGAGGGACAGGCGTTTGTCCTTTTCTGTGTGGGAGGCTCACCTGCATCTGTGCCCAGTGCCTCAGTGACAACTGTCTGTCTTGCTGTGCTGTCAGACCATCAGCGAGTTAAAGGGCAGGATCTCAGAACTGCAGTGGAGTGTGATGAGCCAGGAGATGCAAGTGAAGGACCTGGAGTCTGAGAAGCAGGAGCTGCAGGAGCAGCTGGGCTTGCAGCGCAGGTGAGTGAGTGTGGAGGCGGGGCTCTCTGCCCCATGCCAGGAGAGCCCGCCCGCCTCCGCCCTGGAGTTAGTCCGAAGCCTGCACATCTAGTAGTTAGCTGTGTGGAAGACCCAGGCTCGTCTCGTGCCCTCTGCGGTGTGAGCGCCCAGCCTTCACGCAATTTGTGTGCGCTGAGGCTCTGAGGAGCTACAAATGCCCTTCGATGCTGTACTCCCTGTCCACGGCCTGTCCAGGAACAGACACTGAGGCCTCTGAGCTCAGGACCGTAAGTGCCAGAAGAGAGTGGCATTTTAATGTCCTGAGAACAAAGAGAGGGATCAGTCGTGAAGAGAGCTCCCGGGAATGGAGTGTTCGAGCTGGGTTTTAGAGGCTTGCAGGAGGTCTCCTGCCACCGGTGTAGGCGGGTGGTGAAGGATAGGCCTGGCAGGAAGAGCATTCTGAGCAGAGGCATGGAGTGTGCAGGAACTCGAGGAGGTGAGGGCAGAGGACTGGTTGGTTTTCCGAAGAACTTGGCCTTTACCTTTGCAGATGTTGTCTGGGGAGAGTTCTGGCCGCTCCGTGGTCATGGGGGGTGGTCAGTCATGAGTGGGTCCTCAGCTGTGGCCATACCAGGCCAGCCAAAGCTGCAGTTGTCAGTAGCTATGGGGAGGGAGGAGAACTGAGGGCTTGCTACAGCTAGGAAGGACCTTATGGGTGGTCTGGACCTGCCCACCCACCCTGTCCTGATGAGGAGACTAAGGCCATGGAGCCACTGGCAGGAGCTAGAGTCCAGGATCCTGGGTCCGTCCCTGCAGGGAGCGCGCGTGGTGTTGTGAGTGCATGCGTGGGTGTGCGTGTGTGGGTGTGCGTGTGTGTCTACACTGGAGAGCTTTTGGGGTGAGGGTGAGGAGAATTGTTGGCCTTACTACATACCGCATTCTGCATAATACACTTTTTTCTTTGTAGAAAATGGCAAGAAGCTAATCAGAAGATTCAGGAGCTTCAGGCCAGCCAAGAAGCGAGGGCAGACCAGGAGCAGAAGGTCAAGGTGCGTTGCTGTGTTTCAGCCCCCGGCCTGTGAGTGGTAGGCATCACAGTGGTGGTCTTGGCCCTCCTGCCACCCATAGGTATTTGTGATCTGGGGTGTGCTCAGTGGCATTTGGGGACAGTTGCTGCCTGTGTTTATGCTCTATTTATACCAATCATCTCTTCACGTGCCAGGACTGTGCTAGCTGCCAGGGCTGCGACAGTGAATTTGGAGCACATTTCTGCCCCCAAGAAGTTCACATTGTAGTGGATGAAGTCTGATAACAGACACACAAAGAAAGTAAACACATGACAACTTGAGTAGTGCTGAGTGCTGTGAAGGTGACAGGATTAGCTTGGAGAGGTCGTACATCTAGTGTGTGATTGGGCCGGGTCTCAAAGCAGGTCGGCCTGACTCTGAAGCTCTGAAGCGCAGGCCGTGCTGCTTCACGGGGGGAGGACACTGCCAGGGAGATAGCGACTGCAGGTCCCGGGAGTGGCTGCCCACCACCTTGAGAGTGATAGCCACGCTCTGTGCCCTGACGCTGTGATGTGGCTGCTGCCCTCCAGCTGCACTTACCTTGTCACTTTCTAGATTCCCTGTGCCCTCCCGCCTCTGCTCTTTCACCTGCTAGTCTCTGGCTCTAGTGCTTACCTGTTCCTCCTGCCCGGCCTTCCTCCCCCGGCTCTCAACACTTCACACATCCCCATGACCTCTGCCGTGCCCCTCGTCCCCTATCCGCAGCCGTTGGCCCCCTTCTCAGTTTACTTGCCTGCACCGCCTGATGCCTGTCTTCACCACACTCTTAGCTCTTCCTTGCAGAGATCTCATCTGTCTTCTGCGTCACCCCATCCCCGCTACTTGACCCAGTACTTGGTACAGAGATGGACCCCATTAGCGTTTGTTGAATGACTGACTGATTTGGTCCTGGTCTCATATTCTTTGCCTGTTCCTTGACTCGTCACTAATGGATGCCAGCTGTCTCTGTTGTGTCCCAAGGGGACCAGAGATTGTACAGAAGAGGCTGTCCTCACTCTGGAGAAGAGTCATTTGTCACCTGTGTGTGCTAGGGCGACAGAAGCAGCCCTCACATGAGAGGAGTGGGGTGTTTCACCGGTTTGTTTATTCAGGGAGCATTTGCTGAGTGTCCTTGTGCCACATGTGCGCTAGGTTCCTGCCCCTGAGGCAGCACAGCACAGCAGTATCACACTGGCCTGTGACACACTGTGGGTGCTTCCTGGGAGCGGACGCTGAGGACCAGCACAGGCACACCTGGTGCAGGTGAGATAGGCGCTCTGGAGGGGACCAGGGCCACGAAAGTTGCTGAGGCCCTGGGGCAGTGTGGCGTCCATGACTTTTTCTCTGTCCCTGGCCTCAATCAGGATTTGGAGCAGAAGCTGTCCCTGCAGGAGCAGGATGCTGTGATTGTGAGGAGCATGAAGTCTGAGCTGGTGCGGTTGCCCAAGGTGGAGCAGGAGCTGAAGCAGCTGAGGGAGGAGAACGCCTACCTGCGGTGAGGCGGGCCCCCCCTTCCCCCGGGGTGGAGCTTGGGGGTGTGAGTGTGCAGCCCAGTGCTTCTGGGGCTCCCGGACTCGTCCCCAGGTTACGAGGCTGTTTGAGTGACTTTATTTCTGGCCCTGCCAGGGAGATGCGCGAGACCAACGGGCTGCTCAGGGAAGAAGTGGAGGGGCTTCAGCGGAAGCTGGGGCGTCAGGAGAAGATGCAGGAGAATTTGGTTGACCTGGAGCTGGAGAAGGAGGTGAGGTCCTGATCCGGGGTGCTGTTCTCTCTGGGGTGTCCTGTCTGTTTAGAGGACTCTGGATGTTTCAGTCCCGCATCCTAGCTGGTCACCTAAAATGTGGACTCCTCTGTGCTGCTGTGGTGGGCAGAATAGTGGCCCCCAAAGGTAGCCATGTCCTGATCCCCAGAACTGTGAATCTGTTAGGTGGCAGAGGGGAACTAAGGGTGCCAGTAATCAGCTGGCCTGTGGTAGGGTGACTCCCCTGGGTTACCCAGGTGGGCCAGTGTGATCACAGGTCCTTATATGTAAGAGAGGGCAGCGGAGGAGGTCAGAGCGAGGTCACGTAAGAAAGGTTGCACCTGCTGCTGCTGACGGCGCTGAAGGTGGAGGAAGGGGCCCTGAGCCGAGGAACGTGGGCACCTCTAGGAGGTGGAAAAGACGAGGAAAGGGATTCTTCCCTTAGAGCCTGCAGGAGTGCAGCACTGCCACCCGCCTTGGTTTTGGCCCCGTGAGGCCGGTGCGGTCGGACTTCTGACCTGGTGCGCTGTCAGTGGACCGGCCCGTCTGCTGTTCTAGGTCGCTCGGTAGCAACAGGAGAAGTGATGCAGGTGGTGGCCGAGGAACCCTGTTGGCAAGGGAGACCTGAAAGAAACCTTGCTCCCACTCAGTCTCGAAGGCGCACCTGTGCGGACTTTCTGCCCCCACACCTGCTATTGGAGTTGCAGGTGGCATTTTGTGGGATGGCGTAGAGATGATTGTAGGATGTCAGTGCTGAAAACACACTAGCTCCCCTCTGGGCAGGTGAGACTGGCGTTCAGAGACCTCCACATCTTGCCCAGTGCACATGAGTTTGGACCAGAACTTAGGCCTCCTAGCTCCTGGCCCAGGGTGTTTCTGCCCTTTGCGTGGCTTCTCCGTGGTTGTGCTCTATTGCCTCATCTCTCTGCTTCGACTGGCACAAACGGAGTCACTACTCCCCATTCGTTTCCAGAGTCTGGTGAGAGTGTCAAGTTCATTCACTGTCTTCTGTGCTTGGCAGCTGCCCCACCCATTAGGGCAGGCCGCCTCCTTTGAATCGCGTAGAGTGCTCTCTCCTTTTCAGAGCTGCCGTACCACTGGGGCCCTGCTGGGTCCTTGAGCCCTCCGTGGCTATGGCTGGACAGTGCCCTGAGCCCATGAGGAGGTTCACTGCCAGCCTGGGGCATCACGGGTCACGAGCATAGCTCCTCAGATGCTGGCTCATGGGGGACCTTACCCTGAAAAGATAGCTCCGGAGCTCAGCAGTTTTTTCCTCTGGACATAGTTAATTTTGAAATGGGTTTCGACTTGGCTGTAGAATCACACCTCTTTTAATCCTACCACGGATGCTTACTGGCTGTGTTCACCCGTGTAATGAGGACCAACAGCATCGGCTGTGGTGCTGAAACCCGTGAATGACAGGAGTGCACTCGAAGCTCTGCGCTTGGCTCTGCGAAGGGGAGACGAGGCCAAGGCACGGGGCCTGCGCTCTCGCATTGCTTAGCATTCTGGAAGGGCAGTGAGACTCAGACGGCTTCCTGGGACATGGGTCAGTGTGGGGCAGGTGTGTGAATACAAGTGCGGGCCAGCCTGCGTGCGTGCTGCCACCGCCTCTTGTTCCCACGGGGCCTGGCCAGCCACGGAAGGTGGGAGGAATCTGGCTTTCGGGCCCAGTCCACGCGCCTCATGGCCTGCTCTCCCGAGGAGCACCTGGGAGATGGGAGTGAGAGGCGGTGGTCCTTGTGGGCCCACACAACTGCAGGACCATCCGGGAGGCTGTCCGCCCCCTCCGCCCCGCCTCACCCCGCATTTACCCCACTTTCCCTTTAGCCTGCTAGGATCTTACTGAGTTTATGGCTGCGGAAACAAATGAGGTATAAGCGCGCAGTGTGGCTTCCGCAGCTGGGAGGTAATCTGGCTGTGTGTAGCAGGCTTGGAGGGTTTCTGTTTCAGATCCTAAGTGAGGAAGGACAGGCTCCTCTGAAGGACTGGGGGGACTTAGTCATCGTCATCACTGTCAGTTCGCTTGATGACGTTTGGTGTGGGGATCAGTGTGCACACAGCAGGTGAGGGACAGCAGGCGGTGATCCGGGGTGCAGAAGGACAGTAGGAGGGCTTGGAGTCCTTGCACAGAAGACGATGGGGCATGGTGCTCTGCGTTCTACCCTCTGTGTCTTTTCAGAGGCTGCTGGCGAAGCTGCAAAGCTGGGAGAGACTGGACCAGACCACAGGCTTGAGCATCAGGTAGGCGGAGGGTGCTGGTGCCTCGGCATCCTCACTGTCTCTCTGCACAGTCGGCACGTTTGGCAGGATGGGCCCTGCCTCCTCAGCTCCCTCTGGCAGACGCTCTGGCCATGGCTGCCTGGGAAGCCTCTCCTGCAGGTGGCTTGGGCTAGGCGAGGCATTTTCACAGTGGGAGGGACACAGAAGTCCATGCTTCTCCCTGCCCATCTCTTCACAACATTCTCATTTAAAATCAGAAGCAGGGCCAAGGGTCGGAAACCTGGAGCAAGCTGGCCTAAGGAAAACTGAGGGTTCTTGGCCTGGCCCAGCACCCTCCTGTCCTAGGGGCTTAGCTGACCGACACTTGTCACTAGTGGGCCATGGCGTGAAGTCTGCCCCTCAGCAGGCTGTCCTCACATGCTACACTTTCATTAACCTCCCCGCCAGCTCCCATCCCGAGCACTGCTAGTGAATTGTCAAGCTCAGCAGCACATGAAGTAGAGTTCGTAATGAATGATTTATGCTGGGAAACAACTGGAATGCTCCCAGCCAGGTGGTGGCAACTGTCAGAGTACTCTGCATCGTTGGGCTCTGTTAAAGGACTCTCTTCTGTATCTTCTGAGGGGGAAATCGTTTCTGGGGGAAGTCATTCATGGTAGGTGCTGGTGATGAGTGGTAACGAACTAAGTTATTAGAGATAAAAAAGGAAAACACAACTTCTGTCCAGTCAAGCCCTGCAGCAGCCTCCCCAGCTAGTCTGTGTTGACATCAGGCCAGTGGGTGTGGCAGGGTGTGGAGTGGGGCAGTGGGTGGGGGCTGCTGGATGGCCCTCTGGTGCAGGGCTGAGGGACCGAGCTGGGCGTCCTGTTCTCTGATTGGTAGGACGGGCATCTTTTCACCGCCTGTCCTGCGGGCCACTGCCTCTCTCCAGCATCGCTCTCTGCTGCCTGCCCCTTGGCCACTGGGGCCCCCTGTAGACTGACTCCGCCTCAGCAGCTTTGTCTTTGCATGGGTGCTCCAGTCTGGGGTGGGGCTGTGGCGGAAGATGATCATTCTGGATTACTCCTTGGAGTCCGGGGCACGGGGCCTGTGTTGTTCAAAGGACCTTTGCTGTTTTATCTACTTGTGTGATATCAAGACTGTGGCTTCTCGGTTGTCTTTCTTGAACACTGGGCCAGAATTGAGAACTTTCTTTAAAGAGCTGGTTTGTAATTATGCCATCTGACTGCTGCTTCTGAAACCTACGACTGTTCCGATTGGCATTATTGACTCTTGTTACCCATCACTTGAAAATGCCTCTTCATTTCCTCTTGCCTTGCTGAGTCACAGAGGACAGACGAGGCCACTGTTTCTTCTTGAACTCCACCTGCAGAGCCCAGACTCACGCAGGGCCTGGATGTTTTATGCTTCCTCCTGTTCTCTGGGCTTATTAACACCGGAAGGTGTCCCTCCTGCTCCCAGGGAGACTCGTCAGAAGAGAAACCTCCGTGACTTTTCTTTTGTGTAGGAAATCAGAGGCCCAGTGGCGCCTGACCAGACCATGCTGCTGGAGTGTTCGCGAGCCCAGTGCACCGCAAGCACTCGACCTCAGTCAAGCCATCAGGGCCGGCGCCCAGCAGCTCTTTGTCGGGCTAGATCGGCACAAGGGTTTCGTGGCCAGCATGGAGAGTGCAGCAGTTCCTGGAGCCCTCTTGGTCCGACTTCCAAAGCTGAGGGCCCACACCAACTGCCAGCCAGGGCAGGGCCCGTCCCAGGCAGAGTTCTGGGTGGTCACATGCTCGTGCGAGTGGTGTGTGCTCGGCCAGGCCCTGAGTGGGAGATGAGGGGTGGTCCAGAGGGCTGGCAGAGGTGGGAGGCAGGCAGGAAAGGAGGGGCCTGAGTTTGTTGTGGGAAATAGACGAGCCAGCACTGGCTGGCGTCTCGGCCTGCCTCCCCCTAGCGAGGGCGCCCCTCCTCAGGCCCACACTCCTCTGAGCCAGGGGTGCAGTGCTTCCGTCATGGTTCTCGTGTGGTTAAACCTGACTGCACTTCGAGTGGTGGTGGCTGCGGTGTCCCTCTAAGCAGCCAGAAGCTGACTTCTAGGAAAGTAGGAGGGCGTTCTCGCTGTCCCCGTTTCATGGGACCCCTGCAGAGGGCAGATTTTCTTTTTTCATGTGCTTCGTAGTTTGTTATGCCTGGGCCACCTCCGGGGGTCCTCTGGGGACCTCAGCTCCTCCTCCTTACCTTTCCTGTCCACACTAGGGCATTTGGGGCAGGCCTTCACCTCCGGCTACTTGTGCATCACTTAAGTGGCTACATGTGTCATGTAACAGGCAGTGGGTCTCAGACTTGTGTGAGTGTGTCCATCACCGGAGTCACCTGGAGAGTTTGACACGAATGTAGACACCTGGGCTGAACCCACATGCTGGACTTGAGTCTCGGGTTGACCTTGAATACTATGAAGAGTAGATTGGCTATCTTTTTTTGCCATGTCTTAGGCAGTTGCTAGAGATTTCTGAGCAAAGAAGGTGACTTGGAGGATCCCCTGTTTACCGACATTGTATGTGGGAGTAGGAAACGGGCAGAGGGACATGGGACACGGGACACAGGGAAAGGATGGGGGCCATTGCCGCAGCGTGGGTCCCTGCAGCAGGGACGTGAGGGAGAGATAGGCACTGTTCCAGGAGGCCTGTGATCTGAGGGTGATGCCGTCAGGGTGGTTGGAGGTGGGATCTGCCCGGAGTGGGCCTCACGGGTTTCAGTGCAGCAGGATGACGATGGGGCTGTCTCAGACCCTGCTTAACTATGGGTAGATGTCTCTCTGGCCCCAGTTTGGCTCCTGTGTGTTGTGTGGTCTCTTTTATGCCTCCACATCTGGTAAATTGAAGGGCTGTTCTAGAACACTGGTTTCTTAGGTAAATGGAAGGGCTGTTCTAGAACACTGGTTTCTCACCAGGAGTCGTGGATCTCTCCAAGAGTCTGATGAAAGTCATAGGTGTCCTCCCCATGAAAACGCATATTTGCGTGTGGGTAAGTGTAGATACAGGTCTTTGCATGCTAGTTCAGGGACCACTCCCCCAAAGCCCGATCAGCCAGCTCTAACTGAGGGCCGTAGGTCAGGACCAGCACACTCCCTGGAAGCAGAAGTTCGAGGGGCTGGGAGGGCATGTGGGCCTGGCCTGCTGGGCTTGAGTGTGTTTGGCCTTGAGGCCAGGGCATTGCCATAATTTTGGGACTGAGGCCGCTTGTTTGGGGCATGTCGTGATCCCAGGCTCTGGCCTGTGTCCAGTGTCTCTGTGGGTTTCTGAGAGCTGCCACCACCAGGTGGCACGCCCCCATTGGATGACCCTGGCTCCCTGTGAGCGCAGGCGCCACCCAGTCCCAGAGCTGCACAGTTGTCTGGATTTCTGGCTTTGCGCCTGCTGCCGGCAGCCCCCGGCCCACCGCCATTCCACCATGGGACTTCCTGCCAAAACCAGGGCTTGGTTGTGCAGGGTGTGGGAGTGTGCAGTCTGGCAGTTCCTGCCTGCCTTTAGCTGGACAGCAGCCACTGTTGACTGTCCCACACCTATTTTCTTCCTGACCAGCTCCTTTAAGATCCGTGGATCCCTGGGGTCTGTGGGCTCTGGTGTTTGGGCTGAGCATTCTCTGCGTGGGTGCTCCTCTGGACCGAACTGCGGCTTCTCCCAGGTTCCCGGGGGCTCTACGGCCTCACTGATCGGAACAGAGATCACTTCTGATGTTTAAAGATGGCAGGACAGTGGTCACCCGCCTCTCAGTTTGGGATTTCTTACATTCTGAGGAGCCGAGTTGTTGGAGGTGGGTGGGCATCCAGTGTAAAGCTGTGGAGAGGCTCCTTAGGTCAGGCTCCCTCGTCTGCCAGGGAAATTTGTCCATCCTTGGTGGCGCCTGCTGCCTGGCCTCCAGCACACAGGTCGTGTGGGCCAGGTGCAGGTTGGCCTCACACCTTTGAGAGTCATGGGTGCAAGGGTGCTGGGCATGGGCGAGTGGGGGCCTGTGTGCTCGGGCGAGACACTGGTGTGGTGAGGGTGGTGGGTGAGTTTGGTGTTCGGGTGTCCTCCCAGGGCTTTGAAAGGAGGCCTGAGGGATTTAGCAGCAGTGCAAGAACTGTGACGTGCTGGGCCGCGCCTCTGAGCAGCGTGGTCAGTCGGGAGAATGATTTGAAGGTATTGAATGGAGGTGGACACCGGGAGGCACCCTTCAGTGGGTCTGTGTCAACCACGGCAGGACACGGAGGGCACTGAAGAGAAGGAGTAACAGAGGATGTTTGGAAAAATGGAGCCAAGTGAGTTCATCCCAGGAATACTGGATGCTGATCCTCAGAAAAATAATCAATGCAATTTACTATTTTAGTAGACTAAAGAAGGAAGAAAACATATGGTCGTTTCAATAGAGGCAGAAGAAGCATTTGTAAAAACTCAACACCCGATCATGATTAAAAACTTAGCAAACTAGGAATAGGAGGGAGCTTCCGCAGCAAGATGAAGGTCGTCTGCAAACCCCACAGCCAGCGTGGGGTGTGGGTGGAAGACGAGGGGTGAGGCCAGGTCACTGACTCGTTCTCCTCTTCTGTGGTGTTGGAGGTCCTGCCAGTGCCGTGAAGTGAGATGTGCAGGTGATGTAACTATCTACCTAGAAAACCCCGAAGAACCTTTTAGAAGCCACTAGAACAGAGTGAGTATGCAGGCTCACAGGATACGAGGATGGTGTACACAGACAGCGTGGATCTTTACATACCTGCAACGAGCAGTGGAAAGTGCGTACTGTTTAAAGTAGCATCAAAAACACGAAACCCTTGGGGATAGATTAACAAACTGTGTGAGACCTGTGCTCTGAAAACTAAGATGTCGCTGAGAAGAATTAAAGATAATGTAAATGAATGGAGAAAGATACTGTGTTCATGGATTAGAAGATTCAGTACTGTTAAGATATCAGTTTGCGAAAATTGATCCATGCAGTCAGTGCAATCCCAGTCAGAGTCCCAGCAGGCGGCTTTGGTAGAAATCGACAAACCGATTCCG